GAGGATTCAACAGAGACAGAATGGGGAGAAGAACAGACAGATTGACCTTTTGAAATACACTGTTGAACGGAGCAGTGAGCAAGGCAAGAGAGGTCTGCTGAGTCATGTGGGTCAGCTTCCTGGCTGGGGAGTGAACTCATGCTGCAGTGGCTGTGGATAGCCTCACAGTCTTCAAATTTATGTTGTGCTACCAGGGAGGACCCCTAAAATAATTTAGCTGTGCCATGCCATACTTAATATGTCCAGAATTAAACAGGTAAGACGACATAAATTAGGGGAATCTCAAATACTGATTACATAAAGTAGCATTTTGCCTCTCTATCTCATAGTGCAATGCCAGTTATAAACCTTTAACAGAGCTTCAAGTTTCTTTTGGTGTTGTCATTCACCAACATCTATTTTTTTGTCTTAGCACACAACTAACTGACACACAAGGGCATAATCCATGCTTATTAAAAAAGAATCTTCATTATCTTTTAACCTGAGTGACTGAACTGGTCTTCTAGAAGTTACCTGTTAGCAATCCTTGTAGAAATTGTCTATTGTTCTTCTTGCTATTTTTGGGAGAGCCTACAGTTACAAGTATTTTAAAGTTGCTATTTATATAGATCAGTTTAAGAAAACAATGTTTTATACAATCAGATGTCTTACATTTTAACATTATAATATATAGTAGAAGAAAATATAAACCTTGGATAGGTATGTTTTTCTGTGCAGTTTCTTAAACATTTAATAATTATCATTTTGTAAATTGTGAGTTGTAGAACAGATTTTCAAAAAAATAATATAATAGTTTATTTTTACATCATTTTGTACATATTTTTTTCATCTCAATTGTAATCCCCATGGGCTTCCCATCACCAAGTCACCCATGTGCTATCACCATAGTCCAGTACACTTCTTCCCCCCCCGCCTCCCCCCAGTTCTTGATCCCATTCCCCAATAACAGATTTTTTATTCAAACAAAAGACTAAGGCAATTTGAATACCAAAGGTGGCTACACCTGTACCAATAACCATTCTCCTTTAACAAAACACTGAGTAATGTGCCCTATGGGAAACACTGTTTCCCAGCTTTTTCTGCAAATGGAAGCCAATGAAAAGTAAGTCTGTGTCTTTGTGTGGCAATGGAACTCCTCCCTGAACTCCACCACTGTAGTGGCAGAAATCTCAACAACCATTTTATAATTTTGTGGAAGTTATACATTTTTTTTTAAATAGTGCAAGGAGAGAATGCCCCTTAAAAATTTGGGTAGTGGGCCTAACTAAACTGGACTGCTTGCCTTCATTCTAGTTTTACAGGAGTGAGAAAATGCTACTATTTTAGTTTCTATTTCTTTAGTTTCTATTTCTAGCTGCATTCAGAGACCCATTTAATTTAAGTGGTGAGAAGTACAGGGGCCTAAAATGAATTCTTGGCCTTCTGTTTCATTTGCTTCTGCAAAATTTATCTATTATTAGGGTATCATGTGTATTATCTCTGAACTGAAAAATCCAGTCTATTTTTTCCTACATTTAAACTCCAAATATCTAAGTATCTTTCAACATTTGGATATTCCACAATTACTTCACTAACACAAATTCCTTATCTTTTAATAAAGCTCCCCAATCAGTTAGGTTCAAATTATGCACTCCATTTCCTCCTTCCCTCTGGTAACCACTAATTTGGTCTTAGAGTCTAAAAATTTATCTGGGTTTTATTGACTTTGTTTGTTTCTTTATGTAGCACATGTGAGTAAAATCATATGACATTTGTTGCTTTTTTCAGACTTATCTTTCTAGGACACTTCTTTGGAAATGTCACTTCCTTATGATGACTTGGCTCCTATCTGGCCCTGTTAAAGATATTTGTATCATGCCTGAACATGGGAAATTGCATTAAATGAACTCTGAGAAACTTTCCAAACATTTGATTCTATATCCAAATGACTCATCTTGCCATTCAGAGTGCTCTGTAATCTAGCAGTACTTTACCTATCCAAATTTACATGCTACTCCTTCCAAGCCTCCTTTTTGCCTGGTGAATTTCCCTAAAAACTGCAAATAAGTCAGGTTCACATTCACCATTTCCAGTTGTTACTGTCTACCTTCAGTGCCTTCCCAACTACTGAAATAGATGGCAATTTCCTTGCTACTCAGACTGTCATCTGCAGGCCAGCATCATCCAGCATTACCTGTGTTTTGTGTTGTCAGAAATGAAATTCTAGCTTCAGCTCAGACCTAATGATATAGAATCCACATCTAACAAGATCCCAGGGTATTCAAGTACACCTTCAAGTCTTAGAAATACTACAATAGTGTTTGTCTCAAATTATTCTGCAATGAAGAATTCACTAGCTGACCTTCTGCAGGACCTGTGTCATTCAAGCAAGCATGATATTCAACTAATAACCCTTCTTAGAGTATTTATTCCTCATTTCATGAAGTTTTTTTTCTTTTTGCCCCAACTTGGTTGTAAATAACTTGCATCTGGCCAACCTGAATAGCAGGAACAGAAACCCATTCAGGCCACTATAAGGGATAAAAAAGAACCTATTCTAAACACTACTTGGGAACTGCAACTAGAAAACTCAGGAAGGGAGGTGCTCCACAGACAGACGCTCTCTTAGCATCTCTCTCTCTTTGACCCATTTTCTCTTTTTCCCCTCCCTTCATGCTTCCCTTCATTCATAATCACTGCTTGTTAAAACAGCATTTCAATTCTAGATACCCATTCTCTCCTATACCATTTTGCTCACCTTTGTCCCATTCTGCTTCACCCTGCTTCAGTTTTAGTCTCTAAGCTTAACTCTTCCCTTGAGTGCTATCTTTTTTGAGAATCTTTTTTGGAGCCACTCTACAGGTTACAGGTATCCGAGCCATCCAGACTATGCTGTTAATTTGGGTGCCTACCCTGGGCCTACTTCAATGTTAACCTCTTCCAGTTAACAGCCAGAGCAAGACAAGCCCTTTTAGGTAGTAGGAGCTGTCAAATGAGAATATTTCTTAGGAAAATGTGGGAAGAGCAGGCAATGAGCCACATTGCCAGCCCACAGAGTCATTATTTATGTCATCCTCGCCATAGTCCTGAGCAAAATGCTGAGCACATAACAAAATGAAACCAACCAATATGGAAAGTGAAGGTCATTCAGCTAGCACTAGATGCAGAGGAAATGCAAACAAAGATGAAATAAGCAATAATCCCTGTTTCCCCAGAGCCCTTAATCTAAAGGTGTCACTGAGATAGTTACTTGATCTAGAACAAGTACGGCAACTACCTGAGCAACAATTTCTTTCACTATCAGGAAGAATCGCCTTAATCATGTGCAGAAGAGTTATCTCCATGAAAATGATTCAAAATACACATACATGAATCAAAAAAGGAACCGGTTTTGTACTGTTTTTTTTTCTCTCATATAATAATATTTCTCTCTCTCTCTCTCTCCCATAATATTCAACCCATTTATTGCTATTGTTTGAGGAAATAAACCCCAACCTTTACTACTACATTTCTACTACCTATATAGCTCACTCAAGTAGTGATCAGAAAAATTTACACATTTCAATCAGAAGTGTAAAAATAAGAGAGCATTTTTTTTACAATGTAGATTTTAAATAACATTATCTAATTGTGCATCCAAACCTCTAATGTCCTACACACTTTTCACTTTTTTTTGGTTACATTATAAATGATAATAATTATGTACCATAAATTCCTATGTAGGGCACATATCAGTTTGACTTGTGTGGATAGTACCTTAGAGCAGTTTTCTTTTGTATTTTCTAAAGGTGAAATCAGAATACCATAGATTATATTAGAGTGATGGTCCCCATTTTTAAGATGGGAACTGTGGGCGTAAAAATACGAAAATGGCCCATTGCAAGTCCCTGGAGCACTATTCTATTAAGTTCTCTGTGTACGTGTGTGTTTCTAAAACCACTTTACCACTTGCCTCATATTAAAGAGTAGGTTGTAGGGAAAGGTGGGATAGCAAGATAGACTAGTTTTCAAAAACATGTTATTCTGCCCTTTGCAGGATTCCAGTACTGGTTTATAGGAAAGAAAACAAAACAAAACAAAACAAAACTGCAGTAGGAAATACAGATCTTGCTTTTTGCTTGGAGCAAAAATCAAGACATATTTACTAAGTGATCACCACATGCCAGGCAGCCTGCGGAGGACTCCTTGAATAGGATGAAGAATGTTTCCTCTAAAAGCTTGCCCAGTCTCACCTGCCTATCCCCTCGGGCATCTGTTGCTCTGAGCTGACAAGTGCAGCCATTCAACAGCTGGCTCTGGGTGGAGCAAAGGCAACAACTTCCACCTTGCTAAAAAGTCAACTCAGCTGGCCAAAGTGGCGATATCAGGCAAAAAGAAAAAAACTCAACCAACCAACCAAAACCTCGACAGGAGCAGGTTGAGACTCTGCTGCAGGAGGCAGAACTGCACAGACGGTAGTGCACTGTGCCCACTGAGTACCCAACCCCAATGAAGGCGTCTCAAGCTGAGAGACAAAGCGCTGTGGATCAAAGGATCCTGCAGCCTGGGAAGCTCAAACCCGCTTCTCCAGGAACCTCCAGGAACCACCGGGGCTGCAAAAAGGCAGGCGGGGGCGGCGGGTTGGGGATCTGTTCACTAGAGGGGGAGGAATCAGCTCACTCGGGTGGGGGAGCTGAGTAGAGACAGGAAGATTTTTGCGCTGGAGGTGCGAGGTGAACAGGGCAAGACAGCTTGATGATAGAAAGCTTCACGCTGCGGTGTAAAGCAAGCTTTCGGGCTCCAGCCGAAGACACCAATTTGGGGACTCTAGAACCGGGAGGCTGCGCAGGGAAAAAGCTCTGCCAGGAAGAGGGCGCGACAGCCAGACTGCCTTGGGGGAAGAGGTGAAACGAGATGTCCCTTCCTACACACACCACACACACACACCACACACACACACACGCAAACATCCGACTCCAAGATGCCCAGAATCACTCCCGCTTGCGCCTCGCGCACAGTCCGGCGCTGCGACAACCACTCACCCTCCGCTCGAGAGCGGATCTCCGACACTGTCCTCCGCATAGTCGGCATCTCGGCGGCCGCTGCAGGTGGGTCTCCACCCGGAACCGTGCACCTGTCACCGAGCTGCGCCGGCGGGAGACCCGGCTATGCTGCACGGAGCGTTCAGCCGCCGCAGCTCGCACTCAACAGCCCACCACCGGTAGTGCAACCACCGGGCGCTGCCCCCGCACGCCGGGAGGAGGTGGGAAGTGGCGACCAAGGCGGCGGCGGCGGCCGCAGAGCTCTCCTGCAGCCGCGGAGGGGGCGGCTCGGCAAAGGGCGGAGCTCGGCGCGGGGAGGGGTCGCCGGGAGCGCGCTCACTCGCTGCCCAGGCCGCGCGGCCCGGGAGCCGGTAGAGGGGCGGGGAGAGACTCGGGGCTTCCTCCGCCCCGCCTTGCTTCGTTCGGGCCGTACCAAACCGGCTCGGGGAGGTTTCGGGATCCCGCACTTCTTACCGCAACGTCCTGGCAGCACCTCTGGGGCTTCGGCCCCTCTTGCCACCCTCAAGGCTTTCCTTTCTCTCCCAAGTTTTGACCAAAGGGCACGGGGTCCTCTGGTTCCTGCATTGTCGCCCCAGGTCCCCTCTTGCCTCTCTCTGGCTTGTAATAACAATGGGGCTGCTTGTGGTCTGGAAAGTGGGGTTGGGTCTAATGGGCCGGATGGTGTGTGGTAAAAGGGGCTGAGATGCGGCAGTGTAAAGGCCCCGGGTGTTCACCGCCTGGTTAGAATTCTACCTTCCCTGCAAAGCCAGCTGCCTTCGAGATCTGTTTTACTTGCTCTCTTGGGTCCAGAAGCAACAGGCTCCGAGGCTGGGCTTCGCGGATCGCTGGGGCTCCTGTCCCTGGCGCTTGCTTCTAATCTGGGGTTGATTGCTAGTGGGCCAGGTGAATCCCTCTAAGCTTGAGAAGCTGTGGAATTGCAATAAAGTAAACTAATTATTAGGCCAAGTGGTTCAAAAAGGCCTTTTTTTTGGGGGGGGGCGGGGGTGCTTGATCATATTTTTAGTCAAACCTACACAAGTTGGTTGCAGTAATTTTACCTGAAAAGGAAAGAATAATCTTAGTGTAAAATCCATGAGCATATTAACATGTAATTTGCCCTGTATTTTAGAGATGACAATAACCTCATTAAATTTCATTTTGTACCGAGATGGATGATAAAAAGTTATCAAAGCAAATAGGGTTTGTTTATTTTCTTGCTATTTCATCTTCAAGTTAGGATGTAAGGTTTTATGTACACAGCAACTGCTGAAATATCAAGAAAGGAATAAATTAACAGCAATTTGCTTCTTCCCCAATCTTGTCTTCCTCTAAGGCCCAGTAGAGGAGCGACTTATATGTGAACTGCTTGCAGATCCTGGAGAGAGCCACTGAGCTGCTATTTCCAAGCCTTGAGAAGAAGTAAAAGAAAATCTGCCACAGCGTTTTATCTCCATTTGTGGCTTTTCCTCTGCCTCCTGCTGGTAGCGATTGCTAATCAGAGCCCTGCCCTACATTAATACTCAGGCAGGCGGTCAATGCATATTTATGAAGAGTCCACTCTAGTTGGCTCTGGTTCAGAGGCTGGAATGAGAACAGAGGACATATTTCCAGTGTTCCTGAAATATGGCAGGGTAGAACAGGACTCAAGATGAATGTGTTTCAAGTGATGGTAATGTTTTAAAAAATGATAATCAAACGCAAGAAATGAATAACTTTTCAGTGTTGTCATCACTGGATTTTTTTATTCCTTCCACTTCCAGGACTTCCCTGTAAAGCAGACTGCCCTCCGATTTGATTGGATTCATTTGAATATGAATCTGAAGTAAAATTAAAGAACAAGGAAACAATAAAAGACGGGCTTTCAAAGTTAGCGAACAGAAACCAGAGAAAATGTAATGCTTTTATGGTTAATATTTTGCAGATTTTATGTAAAGCCAGAGTTGTTAATTCAAAAATCAGTAAACAGCATGTTTATTAATGTTATTTGATTTATGCACAACCACCTTTGTAATGAGCCCTCAAAAGAAGTTCAGTTCTGCTTATTTACAAATAATTAACTGAAAAGAGTTACCTCTGTTTTGTATATGGCAATCTATTTAGGTGTGTGTGTATGTCGCATTAACAATCAGCATATTTAACAACATATATCATTCACACAGAAAATGATGACAGTGATTCATAAGAGAGTTTGCGTGATATAGTTGCCAGTGTACTGTGTCTTTTCTCAGATTATATTATCACCTTTCTCTATCATGACAAAAATAATCCCAATTAACCCATTTCTGAAAAGCCATTTATTCCTGTCGGCTAGAAATCACATAATTTTGTAGGTTCAGGAACCTGATTTAAGTTAATTGTACTAATCTGCATCCACTTGATTCCAAAGTCCTCTCAAATCTTCTCATCTTCCATTGTTGTGAGAAGCATAGTGTGCCAGCCCCTGGCAGAGAATGCTGGTTCCAGCAACATGACCTTGTCATACAATCTCTAGTACTAGTCAGGTGTCAGCAAAGATCATTTAAAAATTTCAGGTCCTATGACTATACTACTGATGAATTTAGATGGAAGAGGACTATTTAAGGACAATTTTTTCAAGGATCAGATTTCATTGCCTCCCACAAAACATACACTGACTTTAAAATAAAAGGTCTGAGGAAGTAGGCCAGTGTGCTAGGTTACAAAGACACTTACTGCATATGTGAAAGTTAACCAGCAATAGAAGATGACTGACTTTTAATGCCAGAGACAAGCAACAACTTCAAAGTTTGAGAGAGGAGAAATGTCGAGTTGGAGTGGGCAACACAATTAAGCTAGGCATTACAGGAGGCATTTAGGACTGCAGGAATGCTTAGCATATAGTAAGCAGTCACTCAATTAAAGAATGTTTAAAGTAAATTGAAGGATATAAGAGCACATACATTTGAGAGGAACAAAGAGACTGATTTGATGACAAAGAGCTCACTGGAAATTTGTATACTTTAAGTGGGTGAATTGTATATTATGTGAATTATAGCTTTTTAAAAACTAACATAATTGTTCCCAGAAGAGTCAATCAAAAGTGATCAAATCCTGAAATTCAAAAAAGAGATATGAAGTTATTCTTATCTTGGTGGGTTTTCAATTAGAAATTGCCTGCTATTTATTGCCTGAGTTCCTTACTATTTGAAGCCAACAAGGAGTAAGAATTAGGCCTCTTTTAGGGAATTCATTCATAGCCAAGAGGCAAAAAAGACATGCTCACTAAATTACTAATTTATAATTCAGCCAGGTATGCTTTGGAAACTTATGACCTGAAGGTAGTTAAAGAAAAGTCTAAGAATTCTGCTTCTAATTAAGTGGAAGAATGGAAAGTTGGCCACAGCAGACATATATAGAGACTCTGAACAATGTTATTTTCTCTGAATTTTTGTGCACAATTATTTATTTGCATATATTTATTTTCACAAATAATCTTAAACTTTAAGTGATTAATTTTTTTTTTAAGATTTACTTATTTATTCGTACAGAACTGGGGTACAGGCCAGAGGTGTGATGGGTGAGAGGATTCACCAGAGACAGAGTGGGGAGCAGAACAGGCAGATGGATGAAGTACACTGCTGAGGGAAGCAGTGGGCGGGTCAGGAGAGGTCTGCAACGCCATGTGGATCTCCTCCGGGGCAGACGGGAATCGAACTCATGCAGAAGTGGCTTCAGTTTCCCAGTGCTGTGCTCTAACCCACTGCACCACCAGGGAGGGCCCCTAAGTGATTAAATTTTTTAATTAAAATTGAGGTTAAGACATAAAGCAACATTCTATCAAATGACAAAATTACCTGATTATTGAAGAAAAAGTGGTTATTTTGTGCATAATTGATTTTATATTCATATAGTGGGTAGTATATGGTTAAGATAGTATTACATTTTGGACTAGAAAGGCACTTTGCCCAGGTCTTCCCATCTTGATTGCTTTCTTTGTCACCATTTCTCACATACCCAAGCCCTAATCTACCAGTGTGCTGTTTAGGGTCTATTTCCAAAACAGATCTTAAATTTATCAATCTTGATTCGACCACTTCTACCCACTGTTGTACAAGTTATCATCATTTCTGATGGCCTACTAATAGAACTTCCTGTTTTTATTTTTGTCACCTATTTGTCTCTTGGACGCCATAGTTATCCATATTGCTTTAAAGTGCAATTCAGTTCATGCTATTTAAGACTCTTGAGTAACTTCCTATAGTACTTTATGATTTTGTACATGCCTTTCTCTCAAGACTTCCCCTCATCTAGTCACTGAGCTCAGACTACTCCAGTGCATGACAGTTGACAGTTGATATTGCCCCCCTTCCTCCAGTGCTAGCCATAACCACATTGTCTCATTCTGTTTTTCTCTTAGCACTTATTTCTGCCTGGAGTTTTGTCATTTTTCTATTTATTGTTAATAGATCTTGCCATGCTTATCTTGCATATTATAATTTATCCAATTCTAAGGACACTATCTGTTATAATATAGCACAGGATTAATAAATATTCATGGAATAAATGAGTGAATGAATGAACTAAAAATTGTGTGCACTTCAATGATCAGGTTCTCTAAGACTGGTGACTGGAAACGAGAACAATAGTAACTTTCTCCTTAAAGAGAAAATGTTATACCCTGTATTAACGGAGGTATATTTGTTAGAAGTATACGTGCAAGGAATAATTTAGAGTACTTTTGTCTTGAAGGACTCGATATCAGAAAAATTTTGTGATTAGCAAATTGACTTTTGCTGAAACTTGGAGACCACAATTTAAAAACAAAATGATTTCAAAAAAGGCTTTAAATCCACGGGATTATGGTGATGGCACATGGATGACTTGGTGATGGGAAACCCGCGGGGATTACAATTGAGATGGAAAAAAAATGTACAAAATGATGTAAAAATGAAATTTTGTAATAAAAAAACTCAAAAAAGGCTTTAAATCCACTATCATTGAATATCTAGTTCTTTATTCTTACTCATCATGATAAAAATCAATACTTTGTTTTCATATCTATTATGTCTTATAACTGTTTTAATATTCTTTTTAAAAACTCTAGTAATGCTAATTCAAAGTTATGTTTTTAAACATTTAAGCATTATTACATTCTTTACAAATGGGATTCACAACAAAAAAAGTACGATTTTTTTCTTAATTGTCATTAAAAAATACTCTTCCAGTTTCAATGATACAATTTTAAAATGTGGATTTACATTAGATGAAAAGACTCTTAATAGACAAAAAAAATTTTCTCCAGAATATTTAAAATAACATTCAACAGGCCCTCCCTGGTGGCGCAGC